ACTGATAACAGTTCAGAAGAGGCAGAAAGCACAGTTATCAGCTCATAAGATTTCTGGCAGGATCAACAGGCATTTTTTGCACTTATTCAACAAATATAACAAAACACATTCAGTTGTATATTTCATAAACCAAAAAGGAACACATTAAAAGACGTTCACTGCTGCAGTTTACATATAATTTTAGTTCTATGTTTAATACCCCCATACTGGTTACTCTCCCATTCTTTAAAGAAGAAATGTCAGGAAAACTTCTATTATGCCTTGTAGTGGGGATACCCCTGCACAGCAAGGGTTAACTACTCGTTTTCGTCTAGGTGCTAAAATAAAATAAGTTATACTCACCGGATCCTCGGAGACGGTCGGCTGTCGCAGCACTCCCTGCAGCCCGTCTCCTCCTCCGCTGCTGTGATGATATGCCCCTCAATGCCTTCATGTCCAATACACAGTGTACTGGATGTGATGACTCGAGGATCCTTAGACCACTGCAGCGGAGGTGGAGCGAGGCTGGAAGGACTGGTCTATTTAAAGGGTTTAACAGAGCTACTTGAAGCCCGCCAAAAGCTTTAGAAAGCAAAAGCTTGCTGTACACACTGCTCTTATGCAAGCTGAAGCCCATATGAGGCCCTATGGTCATGCTCTGTTGTAGCACCCATTAAAAGAAACCGCTACTGATTGGTAAGTTTACCTTGGTGAATACAAGTTTTAACACTTCCACACATCCGAAGGAAGGTTTACAGTAGATAAAAAGACCCAAAGTGGTTTGACACCTCATTGTCTAGTGTACATGTCCAAACCGTTCTGTCCACAACAAAATGACCACATATCTTCTTTGTCAAATCCAGATCGCTAAAATACATTCATTTTCACCCTTTGTTATGTCCTTACACCTTAATTGATGGGTAGAAACAACACACTGCAGTCTAATGCTGGCCATACTCCTATAGATTATCTGCAGATTTTCTATGGTCAGATGGAAAAGGTGTAACAGATTCCTCCATCTACACTTATCTGTGTGGATAGAAGAATCTCCCGCTGGGCCAAGCTTCAGTATCTTGCTAGTCGGCCCCGAAATACTGCTTCTCAGGGAGCCTTTCATTGCTGTGTAAGGGCCCAGTCACACCATGTCCGGATCATCTCCAGACCAGACCAGATTGTTTCCGGACCCAAAATGCATCCTAATGTATCCCTATGCTATTTCTGACCCCTGTTCACACCAGTGCAGTCCGTTCCAGAACAGACCAGAAAAATACTGCTTGTCCTATTTTGTCTGGTCTGGACAATGCACAAAAACCGCATAAAAAACGCATACAAGCGCACTGGAACACATCTGTAAGACCATTTTAAGCTAAAAGAATAAAAAATGATTAAAACATTTCCAAACGTGGCAAAAACGCGACAAAAACGCACTGCGTTCCAGATCTGGTCCGGAAAATGGTGTGAACCTGCCCTCAAGGAACAAACTGCTGCATGTAGTGTATTTTCCAGTGTCTCATATGGCAATAATGCAATGTCCATGCAGACCTATTTCAGGAAACACTTTTGCCCCTATCGACTATACGACGAGAGGAGAAAAAAAAAAATAAAAAATGCTAAAGCAAAGTCAGTTTTGATGCTTTTCTGCATAGACCATGTGACTAATGCCATGGCACTGTTAATATTACCATCACAGAAAGGGTTTAAAAATGAAACACCTACAGCAAGAAGATACGTTTTAGCTTTTCTTACTGTTGTTCTGCTTAATGAATAACAAAGGAAGGTTACGAGTATAAAATGTATGCAACTCCCTTTACAGGCACTTTTAGGGCTCATGCACACAGGCGGACGAACCATTACAATATAAATTGCAGTGTATATTGCCCCCGCTAGAGAGTCCAGCCTCCCGCAGAAGTCAATGGCTGTACACGGGTATACGCTAGTACTTGTATATACATATACATACAGACATAAATCTCTGGACCCAGAAAACCCCAGACCAGGGATTCATGTCCATACAGCTGCATGGCTGTACCCAAGTGTTGGCATATACCTGCATACAGCTATTGGTGTACAGTGGGTACAGCTAATTTGGTTTGTAAGAAGAAAAATATATAGATCATATAGCAGAGGGAGTTTTTAATATGGAGGGCACTTCATTCATTTTCATGTTCCCACAAAAGCAGCGTAATCTGAGAACAGTATACATTTCTGAATGCTAATGGTTTAATTAGAAGCATCGCACTGAGAAGTTTATTACTAAGGGTCCATTCACACCAATTGAAGGAACTGCTGGAACGCACAGCAATTGCACACCAAACTCCCCCCTTCGTTCTGGGGTGGGAGGGGGGCGTTGCAGTGCATTGAAGTCAATGGTGCCGTAGCCACGCCCCCCATACGCAGTCTGATCGGAAGCGTGGGAAAACATTTCCTGCGCTCCTGTCCAGTTCCAACGCAAAAAATAGAGCATGCAGGAGTTTTCTGCATTCCCAGTGGACCAAAGCGCAGGAAATGTTTTGCCACGTGTCCAATCGTACTGCGGCCGGGGGCATGGCTGTGGTGCCATTGACTTCAATGCACCGACACACCCCTTCCCGCCCCAGAATGAAGGGGGAAGTTTAGTGTGCGATTGCTGTACGTTCCAGCAGCTACCGCTTTGGAGCGCACCACAATTGGCCCTTAAATATACATAAGGATGAAAAATATCTCAACAACCTAAATTAGTCCTCAGTGGTGTTCTTCAATCACCAAAAAACAACTAATGGTGGTTATCCTAATATTTTTATTAATACATTTCAGATAAGGGAGAACAGGTAAATACTACTTTGATATAAGTGACAAAATAAGACAGAAGTCAATGCTCTAGATCAGGGAGGCACACCATGTCAGGTGAGATCTCATAAGAATGTAGAGTAGGTACCAAGATGATGAGCTATGACAATCATCCTCCTGCACAACAGATCTTCTTGAGTTCAGAGGTCTGAAACACTCACCCAGGGTCTCTGCATCTAAAATGTCACCTCCTCTACTCTGAAGCATCACTGGCAACAATCGGCATACAATTCATGCAAATACAATGGCTATAAATATCCCAATGTAAACAATCACTTTTCTGCTTCATGCACAACATAACATGAAAAATGCCTGTGACCTGAAAAAGGTGAAAAGCGCATAAATTACATTTTCCATACAGTAAGGGAAGACGTGGCTTTCACAAGGTATACAAAATAAAATTCATACAAATAATGAGCAGCTATCAACAGCATTCACCAACAGCAGCCATACACAGCCCAATACAAGTGAAAGGTGCAAGCAAATAAAACAGAACTTGTGGTCTACGGGCTGTGGACAATCTCTGTGCAGACCATTTCTTTTTCTTTGAAGTCAAGGGAACTAAGACCGCACCTTGCATATATGCACTGCCCTATTCAGAAAGAAGATCACATGCGTGTGATGTCTCACTGAGAAACATCTGTCCATCTATAGTAAACTTCTGCTGCCTATCGATAGGGAGATAACTCCCTGAAATCAAGGGGTAGGGACATAACCATCCATTCTCACAAATCACTAGAGCACCAGAAGCCGCTGCAAGTCTTATGAATAGAGGTCCACTGTACTTCGGTCCTTCCCATTGCTCCAAAGTGGAAGAAAGGATCTGACCTCAAGGAAGACCTACTGTACTTCGATCCTTCCCTTTGGTTCAAAGTAGAAGAAATGATCTGACCTCAAGGAAGACCTATTGTACTTCAATCCTTCCCTTTGATTCAAAGTGAAAGAAAGGATCTGACCTCAAGGAAGACCTACTGTACTTCGATCCTTCCCTTTGCTCCAAAGTGGAAGAAAGGATCTGACCTCAAGGAAGAACTACTGTATGTCAACCCTTCCCTTTGATTCAAAGTAGAAGAAACGATCTGACTTCAAGGAAGACCTACTGTACATCTACCCTTCCCTTTGCTCTAAAGTGGAAGAAATGATCTGACCTCAAGGAAGACCTACTGTACGTCTACCCTTCCCTTTGCTCTAAAGTGGAAGAAATGATCTGACCTCAAGGAAGACCTACTGTACATCTACCCTTCCCTTTGCTCTAAAGTAGAAGGAAGGATCTGACTTCAATGTAGACCTACTGTACATCCACCATGCCTTTGATACAAAGTAGAAGAAACGATCTGACCTCAAGGAAGAACTACTGTATGTCTACCCTTACCTTCGAAGTGGAAGAAAGGATCTGACCTCAAGGAAGAACTACTGTATGTCTACCCTTACCTTCGAAGTTGAGGAAAGGATCTGACCTCAAGGAAGAACTACTGTGCTTCTACACTCCCCTTTACTCCAAAGTGGAAGAAAGGATCTAAACTCTATGAAGGCCTACTGTACTTCTGTCCTTCCCTATGTTCCAAAATAGAAGAAAGGATCTGATCTGAAGGAACACATACTTTACTTCTGTCCTTCTTTTTGCTCCAAAGTGGGAAAAGTGGGATCTGACCCTGACTACAGAAGAATCCATGTGGACTGCTGAGTGCTCATCACTGCCCCCCTATTGAAGTCAGAAACAGCCCAATCAAAATCAGGAGCAGTACCAGTTATTATCAGAGAATTCACCTGCACAATACATGCATCTGATCTTAGCATCATTTCAGACAACCAGATCATGCATGGCTTTACTAAAGAGCAATAATTAATGCTTTCAGTTGGTAAAACACAGGTTACTGCTAAGAAAGGTTTTACAGTATGGAGCCATATGCCTGAACTAGCACCTATCATTCCCTTTCCTGCAGAGAAAAAAAACAAAAACACAGCACATGCTTGAAGCAAATCGAGGATGGGCAGATGTGTCCCTAGCCGTTCTTCTTCTGTGTCAAAGGGAGAACCATAGAATGATAAGATATGGGTTTGCTACTTGAAAGGCGTAGGTCGTAGCCCTTTAATGTGTGGCTTACCTGATACCTGCCACTAGCAAGCAGAACCTAGTGCCATCACTCCATTGGACATGAAGCTATAATAACGAGCAAGCTACTCTAATAACATACCTCTTCCAACTTTCACCGCTTAGCAGCCTGCGTCTAAATCCCACTGGAATACGGTTCCATCTTCCCCGACCCTGGCAGAAAAAAACTGCAGTGGTACAGACTGTGCTACAGAGCAGATTGAGAGGAAGAAGCTAAGAGGATTTGAAGGGAGCGCTGCTGATTGCAGCCACATGTACAGGTTACAGCTCCATCAGGACACATATACTAACTGGGCTGCTCTGTGCTGCTGGACTTAAAGCAAACGGGGTGGGGGGGGAATCCTTCTTTCATGACTCCCAGCAGTTCTCATAGCCTATTTTTCTCCCTGAGTCTGCTATCTCTTGTGCTTTCAGACACTGATTAATTAATTACACGCAAAATAAAAGATACGCTCCTTCCGCTGAGTGGTGGCTTTAAGCTGTGAGCTAATGTGCCAGTGTCACTGAGCTGATTGGGAGAGATGGGCCCCACCTCCCGCATCTGCCTCTAGATTCACATTACAGGGTACAGAGCCTGTAGGAAGGGGTGGTGTACAGGGAGGAGGGGGATGGGGAGCCACCACTTCACGGCTGCCTTATGTAATCATTGCCTGCGTACCAGCCACTAACAGGTTAAAGGCAGCTTCCATACAGAGTGAAACGACTTTACACCTCACAGTTCTTCACTGCAAACACTGCTACATGTGGGTTGACTGGATAATTTATGCTGATTGTATGCACTTCAATTGTGCTGCACCTTCCCACAATGTGACAGTATTCTTCCACATTACAAAATCCCGGTGGAGCAGTTGGCTCGAATGCAGTGCCCAGTTCTTCTAATGGCCCACACACGAAAATGATTTCAGTTTGTCGTAAACAAAATGATACCGATTAACCCAGAACTGATTCCGGGCTTTCTATGTGGGGAGAAGCTTCTAACAGCACTAGGTGCCCATGACCCACCCTACAGAACTAGCTCTGACAAGTATACCAACGGTAACACCGGATAACACAGTACAGGGGTGATGCACTGACAATATTCTCAGCACCGTCCTCACAGAAATTTGTACAATAAACAGAGAGACGATTCTTTAAGTATATTTATTTTAATGCAAAGCCTAGCTCACTTGCTGCTCCTGGAACCACCAAGTTCAACCGTAATGTAACCTTCATTTATAGAAATTACAGCATTTATTCATTGTGCTGTTTGTAAATCTTAAACTAAACCTCCTATACTTGTTAGCTTTCACAATGTACATGGCATATACATATTTATTTAAAGGGACACTCACAACGAAAAATAGGCATACACTCAAGGAAGATTTTTTTTTATCCAAGTATAGCTGCAGAGCATCAGTCTTTTCCAGCAGATCTCAAAATGTTTTCATTCACCGCACCCTTCAAAGTATGCAAAATATCAAAGCACCCCAGTCTAAAATGTAAAAAAAATCCCCAACCTGTGGCCCCTCCGAAATTCATTACAAGACACTTATCCCAGATCCCCTTCATATCAGAGCCCACCCTTTGACAACAGAGTCCCCTTTTAGTTTAGGAGCCCCCTCCTTTCACATCAGAGTTCCCCCTCTCACACTAGGAGCTCCCTACTTTCACATCAGAGGCCCCTTTACATTCGGAGCCCCCTCTCTTTTCATATGAGAGTTCCCCCTTTACATTAGGAACCACCTATTTTCAAAATGTTTTCATTCACCGCACCCTTCAAAGTATGCAAAATCTCAAAGCACCCCAGTATAAAATGTTTAAAAAAACATGTGACCCCTCCGAAAATTCATTACAAGACACTTATCCCAGATCCCCTTCATATCAGAGCCCACCCTTTAACAACATAGTCCCCTTTTACATTAGGAGCCCACCTCCTTTCACATCAGAGTTCCCCCTACCACACTAGGAGCCCCCTACTTTCAGAGCCCCCCCTCTTTTCATATCCGAGTTCCCCCTTTATATTAGGAGCCCCCTCCTTTCACATCAGAGTTCCCCCTTTACATTAGGAGCCCCCTACTTTCACATCAGAGTTCCCCCTCTCACACTAGAAGCCCCCTCCTTTCACATCAGAGCCCCCTTAACATTAGAAGCCCCCTACTTTCACATCAGAGTTCCCCTTTACATTAGGAGCCCCCTACTTTCACATCAGAGCCCCCCTTTACATTAGGAGCCCCCTACTTTCACATCAGAGTCCCTCCTCTCACACTAGGAGCCCCCTCCTTTCACAAGTTCTAACCCTTCTTTACACTATCCAAGACTGGGGGGTTGTTTTGGCTGAAGTTCAAGTTTAATGCCAGCAAGGAAATGATATGTACTACGGAGAGACGTAAATAAGCCCACAGGATTTCTAATACAAACTTCATGGAAACTTGACACACAAACACACAGCCCTATTTCCCACATTATAAACAAGGGACAATGAGGTACTATTTTCTACTCTGCAGAACAGATGAATAAGGTGTGGGTGTGGACACATTGCTCACACCCAAGGGATGCTACATAAAAAGTTAGATTTATTATAAAGGGATCCAAATTGGAGGGTGTGCTCGGAACTGAGAATGCCTCACCCATCATTGATACTAGTATGGCTACTGGCTTTAGTCAACAACAGCGGGTCAGTTCTTTAGAAATGGCCACAAGCCAGGACACCCTCTGGTACAAAACAGAACCAAGAATGGTTTGATTTAATAAAATATACAATAAAAAAAAGGCATCAGCAATAACACCGGGGCAAAGGAGGGGAGAGTTCGATCTGGATTAGTAAATAAACAGGGGAAGAACAGTGCCCCCCATGTCAGTGGAAGGAACGTTGCCCCCCATGTCAGTGGAAGAATGGCACCCCCCATGTCAGTGGAAGAATGGCGCCCCCCATGTCAGTGGAAGAATGGTGCCCCCCATGTCAGTGGAAGAATGGTGCCCCCCATGTCAGTGGAAGAATGGTGCCCCCCATGTCAGTGGAAGAATGGTGCCCCCCATGTCAGTGGGAGGAACGGTGAAACCCATGTCAGTGGGAGGAATGGTGACACCCATGTCAGTGGGAGGAACGGTGCCCCAATGTCAATGGGAAGAATGGTGTCCCTCCTGTCATTGGGAAGAACGGTGCCACCCATGTCAGTCGGAGGAACGGTGCCCCAATGTCAGTCGGAGGAAAAGACAAAAAGAAGCGATTAATACTTGCAGTGCGGGGGTAGCCCCACTGCAAGGGTTAACAATATTTTTCTCCAGAGTTCTGCTTTTGTGCTTTACAGCTTAATGCCAGTCACAGACTTGAGGTTGTGACAGTGAAGGGCTCCGGTCATATAACCCCCTCTACTCCCCTCACATATTTACAAAAAACTTTTATTTCTGTCACAGAATGAAAGATATTCTGTGAATGGAGGATGGTGGATCCTATCAAATACCCACCTCTCCCCTCGTCCATTAACAGGACGCCTTGCAATCTCTAAAGAAAACAAGGCTTTTATTGAATGGGCAAGGGGAGAGGAGGGGGTGGGTATAGGACTGTTGCAGCCCCATCTCTCATCCTTACAGTGCTGCAAGCTCGGTGCTACCTGTCTTATCCCACAGGTAAAAACTCTGAAATCAGATTTAAAACTCTTGCTCACTATAGGATTGCCTTCATTTCTAACATATTAAAATGATTACATTCAGAAATTGTACTATTGCACATTTTGCAGTATAAATACCACATAAGACAAGCGGCACAAGACAACAGAACACAATGCACACCTCAGTGAAGTCACTAGGTCCCAGCACATTTGTAAGCTTCATACTATGAACATTTGCTCAGCTTGACAATGTCTGCCTTCAGAGTGTAGAGGGACATGTATATTAGGGAAGCACTAGGGGCTGGGCAGACATAGCATGGATTTGTGTCCTGTGCAATACGGTATCTCCCACTGGATGCTAGCAGTCTGCTTTTTTACCCATTGACTTATGGCACAAAACGTCTAGTTTTGTTGCTTGTATTTGTGTACACTGCAACGCACAGCACAAGAAATACCATGCATTCCTATAGCCCCCGTTCACATCTAAGCGTAGAGTCTCGCGTAAAAAAATGCTTGTTGTTAGAAAAAGTAATTTTGTTTGGCAGATCAGCACGATTTGACCCCATAGACTCAATAGGAAACTCTTGCGCGTTTTCCGCACGTTTCCCATTCGCTTCGCTGCGTCACAAATCTGTTCACAAAAATGCACTTAAAATGCGCAAAAAAACCTTGCGTGATCTGCACTGAAACGTCATCTAGATGTGAATGAAGCCTAAATGGCAACTGTGAGCAACAGGAGTGGACAGAGCAGGGAAGGGGAGACAGGCTGGGGGTGAGGGGGGGCATGGTGATGGAAGACAGTAAAAGGGGGGCTGAGTAGAAGTGGCTCATATGTGAAAGGAGGCCAGAATAGGGGTGGCTCAAGAATTTCTTGCTGTCTGTAGCCATATTAAGTTCAATTGTTCCTTATGCCCCATCAAATGAATATAGTGTGACAGGAAGTGAGGAGACATTTCCAGTGGGCATACATACAGACAACAAGAAATAACTGCCAGCGTTTGTAATTCTTCATGACTCTTCTAAATATTTTCTGAGTTCCGTTTTGTGTTAAAGAATACATTGCAGCACAATTCAATGTTATTTTCACTCCGCATATGAGCAGGACTGTTACTTGTCACATGATTTTATATTGTAACATCTCCCTAGGACTCATGCACACAGGAATTAAAAAAACGTGCGTCCAGATGCATTTGGATTTCTAACTGCATCTGTGTGCATGGAATGCTTTGCTATGGCTGAATGAACACCTACATTCAGCAGCATCTAGGTGCGTTTACATAAAGAGACATTTTTGCGTTCCAAGGCAGCATAGCACAGTTTAAACAAAAGTGCATTTAAACCCGTGTGAGCGCATGTACAAAAACACACACACAGACAAACGATTATCTCAGGAAGTTATCTGTTGGGCTTCATCTGCATTTGTCTATATAGAATATAAATCCTGTGTGTATAATAATGAAAGAGGGTGATGCTCAGGACCTCGGAACATTATGGCTGCATTATTATTTAGAGGTGCATTCCAAAATAAAACAGAGGAACCCACCCGTTCAGCCCTGGAAAGCCTGGCACCCACCTGT